TATGCGTGTGTGTTTGTGTGCATTTCTGAAAAAAAAGACATGAAAGATGATATTGTTGAATCTGGCTCAAAATAAAATTGTTGCTTCATCGTCTTCCTTTGAAACTTCTTGCAATACAGAGTGTCAATTAGTATGGTACAGCTGGTAATGGGTGCCCTCGGTCTACAATGTGTGCACATCGCTGATCACAAGACTGTCTCATTTCAGCTTCTCCCTGTCAAAAATGTAAACCAGCTCCCTGAAAGCAACTTCAAATTACACTATTGGCGCGTACTTTCAAATCCCATTAAATCCAGTCCTTTGTGAGTCGTGACCACTTCAAAGATTTCAATTCGCATTGTGTTATCGAGCAACCATTGAATACAACAGTGTTGAAACAAGGTTCTGATTGGTGTATATTATTAACACAGTCACCACAGATCAGAATGAATCTCGCTGCATCTTTTCTGACACGGGCATTCAGACAGCTGTCTCGCTAACTGATTTAACAATCTTGTAAACCTTTATGAATTGGCCCTGATGAGCGATTCGATCCAGCTGGATTGAAACCGGTTGGGAAATAGTGATCATAACTGAGAGCTGGGTTCTCTATCATCGAACATGTGGAGGTAGACGCCATGCTTGAGAAGGCAAGTCCTCACCAAGACAAGGCTTTTACAAGCTGCAATCCCAAAAATAAAAGGGCTACTGGTCCCAAAACATTAACTCGGTTTCTCTCCTTCTTTCCACAGATGCTGCCAGATCTACTGAGTTTCTCCAGCCGTTGCAGTCTTCATTTCAGATCTCCAGCTGTTCTTTGGACTGACTTGTATTGGTGAATGAGTCGCAGTGTATTTTAAGTAATGAGCACGCTTGCTACAAGTTAATTGCAGTGGAAGGGTGGTAGTAATGTTTGAGACAGTACCCCTTATCAGGGCGACGATAAACCAATCTCCCTTGACCAGTTTTCACTTCTGCTTAGTATTCGAGAGATTGCCACCCACGGAAAAGTTCTCTAAGCAGACAAAATGGCGAAAACGAACATCAGCATCTGACCCCGTGACTCCTCCACGGAATCATAAAAGTGTACTAAAAATGTCACAGTCTCCAATCCCTGCCAAGTTTCACAAATTTGCCCCAAATGTTTACAAAAGTGTGCACCAGCCCCATTCCCCTGGTATAGCCTAAGTGTCCATCCGTGGTGGAAATGCCAAAACACTACCTAACTGGAAGCTGAGGGCACTGATCAGTGGTGGGCAGAAGTGGGTGGAGGGACAAGTCTCCACGGCCATGTGAAATGGACAGGGCACGGGGTAAGACTGAAGGTAAATTGGCTTCTAGTGTTGCCCAGTCTCCCGTATCAGACAGGCAACCACCGTGACAAGAGCTGCCCCCTTGGTGCTGCCAACTTCAGACTGGATGTAAGCATTGCTGTGCCAAGCATGCCACTGTCTCATGCATTGTCGAGGAGAAGCTGCAAACGAAAAAGAGGAGATCAGCTGGTGATGGATCCCAGTTTCGAGTACCAACCCATATATCACAAAAGGGAAACCCAGGGGCCAAATTGGAGGTGTCAACAGGGGAAGGCGGTGGCTTAGTGGTATTATCACTGGACTGTTAATCCAGAGAACCAGATAACATTCTGGGGACCTGGGTTCGAATCCTGCCATGGCAGATGGTGGAATTTGAATTCAATAAATATCTGGAATTAAGAATCTAAAGATGAGCATGAATCCATTGTCAATTGCTGGAAAAACCCACCTGGGTCACTAATGACCTTTAGGGAAGGAGACTGCCATCCTTACCTGGTCTGGCCTACATGTGACTCCAGACGCACAGCAATGTGGTAGACTCTTAACTGCACTCTGGGCGATTAGGGGTCGGCAATAAATGCTGCCTCGCCAGTGATGCCATCAGCCCGTGAATGAATAAAGGGAAAAAAAAAACATTGTGCCCCCTCTCAATCTTATCCGACCTTTCACTTGGACCGTCATCAATCTTCGTCATCTTCCTGACCCTCTGTGGTCTCGACTGGAGAGATGCTGCAGGCTCCGGGATCGGGAGACAATTTGCGGATCAGGGCACCTCCCACCACAATTGAAGTCCAGCTTTCGACGTCAATATTTAAAATTCAGTCAATTTGGAGGACTTCGATGGGGTTGGAGGAACTGGGGGTGGTGTATTGGTCAGCGAATGCTCCAATGTCAAGTGATCAAATACTAAGCCGGCCCTCGGAAAGGAATGTGAAACTGATGCAGAAATCTAGAATATGAGCTAAGTTCCAGTAAAGATGTATTGTTGCACTTATCATCGATTCGTGTCAAACCCAATCATGTTCACTCTGTTCCTTTAGTAGAGGAAATCAATCATCCTTACCCGATTTGGCCTATACATGACTCTGGATTCCCACTCTGAGAGGAGAGGGGGCGTTTATTTAACTGTCTGTGAACTTCTTTCCTCAGGACAACAGTTGGTTCAGAAGGAGAGGAGGAGTGCGAGCCAAATGACTTGATCAGACCAAATGGTAGAGATAACACCAGGAGGCAAAGAGTATCGTAGAGCTCAACAGCAGAGGAAAAGATGCTTCAGCCCACACTGGTCAGAAATGAAACAACTCACGATACTAAACCCCAGTTCCCAGCACTTAGCTCATAGCCTTGACATCATGAGTGCTGATCTAAATTCCTCTCAATATGATGAGTGTTTCTGTCTCTCCCACGCTTACAGGTAGTGAGTTCCAGATTCCCCACCATCCTTTGGGCAAAATAATCTTATCCCACGTCTCCCTCGAAAACTTCTAACCTTTCCCTTAAATCTGTGATTCCCCCAACTACAACCCACCCTGGAAAAGATCATTGTACCTCTTACAATAAAAGTACCTCTTACAATCTCCTCTGCTCTCAGGTAAACAACCCCAGTCCATCCCAAAATCTCTTCAACAACTGAAACTCTCCAGCTCACAGAAGGCAACATCCTGGTAAATCACCCTCTGCACTCTCTCCCAGTGCTATTACATCCCTCGTGCAATGGGAATTCCAGAATTGCACATACTCTCTCTGCGTGGCCTAACTGACGATGTATACAGTTCCCAGTCACACTTCCCTGTTTTAAACTCTGCACCTGCTTTAATAAAGGCAGGGATCCCATGAGGCTTCTGAAACACTTTATCCCCTGTCTTATTACATTACGGGAACGGGGTATATACACACCAAGGACCCTCTGATCCTTGGTGGTTCCCAGGATCCTGCCGTCCATCATGTATGTTCCCTAGCCTTGTTTGAATGGGCATCGCTCTACTTTTGATCGGGATGGAGGGGCTTCACCCACAACTTTGCTAGTAACCGTGTGGCACGGTGTAGCGTCAGCTACAGGTGTTACTGAAACAGGCTAAGTGTGTAACTTACGAGAGATATTCATTCGGTGTCTGCTCAAACCCAAACCTTTCTTCCACGAGATTAAAGAGACACTGGAATATCTTCAATAGCAGAGCCAAAGCCATCAATTAAATCGTAAAGTTTATAAACGGCATTCTGATTGCAAGGCTCCTGTGAGACCCTCAATTCAGACATTCGTAACTGAAGTGGTTCTATAGTTTTGTCCACAAATCTGGCTTTGTAAAGAATTAAACCCTGCTTCTCTCCGTTTTGACCTCAGTGCCTGTTTCGATCATTTTGAATGGTATGGAATTCACATTTTCTGTGGCAAGGATTACTCAGGGTTTACCCTTTCAAACAATTTGGAAAATACTGATCAAATAGACTTCCTGGATTTTACCATCTTGGAATCAATGTCACAAAAGCTCAGCACAGAGGGGGCTGGCTGCATTATGGGCCAAGGACTGGCAGATGGAGTTTTCTGCAGATACATGCAATGTGTTACATTGTGGGAAGACAAAGCAGGTCAAGGCCTACACAGCTAATGGCAGGGCCCTGGGGAGGGCTGTCCAACAGAGAGACCTACGGGTGCAGTTTCATAGTTCCTTGAAATTGGTGTCACAAGCAGACAGGGCTGTGAAGAGGCATTTGCTATGCTTGCCTTCATTGATCAGGGCATTGCATACAGGAATTGGGGTGTCATGTTGCAGCTGTATAGGAAATTGGTAACGCCACATTTGGAGTACTCTATACAACATGTTCACCCTGCGATAGGAAGAATGTCAATTAATTGGACACAGTGGAAAGATGTACAAGGATGTTGCCGGGACTAGAGGGTTTGTGTTATAAGGAGAGGCTGCATAGTCTGTTACTTGATTCCCCGTGGTGTAGGAGATGACGTGTGACCTTACAGAGGTTAATAAAATCACGAGAGGCGTAGATAAGGTGAATAGCCAAGGTCTATTGACTGGTTTAGGGGAGTTCGAAACTAGAAGGCGTGGGTTTAAGGTGAGAGGGGAATGATTTATAAGAGACATGAGGGGCACCTTTTTCATACAGAGCATGGTGCGTGTATGAAATGATCTACAAGAGGAGGTGATGGAGGCTGGTACAATTACAACATTTAAAACGCAACTAACTGGGTATGAATAGGAAAGCTTTAGAGCAATATGGACAAGACCCAGGCAAATGGAGACTAATTTATTTTGGAAAATCATTTCAGCATTGATGAGTTGGGCCAAAGGGTCCGTGAACGTGCTGTATGAATCTATGACACTATGACAGGGCGGTAAATATAGGATACACAGCCTCGGCTTTATTAACATGGCTACAGCCTCAGTCACGGTAGCAGTCTATTCTAAACTACAAGCAACACAGAGCTGAAATGTTGGCTGTCCTCGCTCTCTCCGCTGATGCCGAGTTTCTCCAGCAATTTCTGGCTTTGTTTCAGACTTCCTGCATTCCATGTCGTGAACCTGAACTAAAATGCTCCCAAATGTTGCGTGCATGGGCTTCAAACCCTTGTACTTACGAGTCATGACACTGGATTACAAATGGCGTGAGTTCCTTTTCCAGCCTAGGCCATTAACGCTGGCTGTCTGCTATCTAATGCTGACAGAAGTGCAGAGCTGACCAGAGTGAACTTACTGTGGGTGCAGTTTATATAGATTGTCATCCCTTCCCACTTTGACCAGGAGGCAATCCATATTCTGGTTTTCTCGAATCATTTCCACCACGGTTGACAATCCTATGATGCAGAAATGGGCAGTCCGCCACGGTACGATGCCACATACCTTATTCATAATGATGTTGTCATCAACCGTACTCTGCAGCTCCAACTTCTGCAGGATAGCTCGGACCTACAGCAGCACCAAGCAATTACTGAAACAGAGCAGAAACAGACTAATATAGTCAGGTACGTAACCGTCACCAACATTTCAAATCAATATCAGCATTCATCAATATCCTGGGGATTACCAGTTTCATAATTACAGGCATTGCATTTGAAGGCATTAACTCTTTTGCTCTAACGGAGTCCCACTCAATATGGGGGCATTTGAAATCACGGATAATGACAACTCTGTTTTATTGATCTTACAATGATCTCCCGACATTTTTGTTCCTCAATGTCTCTCTTGCTGTTGCATTTATTGTATAATCCTGTCAAAGTATGCCCCCAAAATATTTTTGATGTCTACACATATTGCCACAGTGGATGGGCCCTCCACTATATCTTCACGAAGTGCAGATGGGACATTGTCCCTGATTAGTAATGGAACACGTCTACCTCTTTTAGCTTTATCCACATATTGTCTGCAACATTGAGTAGCCCGTCCCGACCATCTACTAACCAAATCTCTGCAATGGACAAAACATCATAGTCCCATGTAATGATCCAGGCTCTAAGCTCATCTGCCACTACCTTCAATACTCCTTGCATTGAATGAAGCACACTTCAGCCCATAGTTCCATCGTCTTCATTTATTTTTCTCTGCTTGTCCATTCTTTATGATTTATTTGTTCAAATAAGACGCTTGCTTTCAATTTCTCCACTTACAGACCTTCTGTTCTGGGTTCCAGCCCTCGCTACCCTAGTTTAAATCTTCCTGAGTAGCAGTAGCGAAACTCCCTACGAGGATGTTAGTTCCACTGCAGTTTCAGTGCAAAACGTCTCTCTTCTACAGGTCACCACTGCCCACAAGAGGTCTTAATGATCCAAGAATCAGAAACCCTGCTCCCTGCATCAGTTTCTTAACCACGCATTCATTTCTCCTATCTCTCTATTCCTTACCTCACGAGCAGATGGTGCTGGTAGTATCCCAGATATTACTGCCATCGAAATCTCACTCATCAGCCTCTTTGCTAATTCTCTGAACTCACTTTGCAGAACCTCATCTGCCTATGTCCTTGGTACCGATGTGCACTATGACTTCTGGCTACTCACCCTCTCTCTTCTGAACTATATCCTTGACACTGGAACCAAGGAGGAAACACACCATCCTGGAGTCTCAACCGCGGCCAAAGAAACAACAGTCTTTGTCCCTAACTAGTGAGTCTCCTACCAATATCACTAGATTGGATATTGCTCGACCATGCTATACAGCAGAGCCAGTTGGCCTAGTTCCAAAGGCCTAGTTGCGGCTGTTATGCTCAACCAAGAAGTTGTTCCACCTACAGTTTCCAACAAGATGTTCCTGTTACAGAAGAGAATAGCCACAGGAGACACCTGCACTACCTGACTTCCCCTCCTGGCAGTCGAAAATTCAACTGACTTGACTTTTGAAGTGACAACCTTCCTGTAACTAGTGCCTATCACACTGTCTGCTACATGTATGCTACTAAGTGTGTCCAGCTGCTGCTCCATAAAAACGATGTGATCTGTGAGGAGTTACAATCTGTCACACTTCCTGCAGGCATAGTCGTCAGGAAAACTAGAATGCCCCCTGATCTCCCACATCTGGCAGGAAGAGCTCACCACGGCCCTTTGCAGTAGAAAGATTAAAGAACCTCACTTTGCTCCCTTCCTCTGTAAACACAGTATTCACCTAAACCCACACTTATTCCAACTAGTAGCACGAGTTAGTTGCTTAAATGACATAGCAGTCTTTCTAACAAACAAGCAAATCTCTAGGTTAAAGCAAACTTCTGGACAGTTTGTCTCAATCTCTAAATCCTCCTTTTGTTCGAGGAAGAGAGAATGATGGAAACATTGCAGAAATGTAACCACTCCTTGTCACTATGTTCTTCCCCACTACGCCGATCAGTCGTGATGGGTGAGCCCACTTCTCCCTGTTTAGATTACAATTTCCCAAATATACTACGATTATTTCCTTCATAATTGATTTAAAAAGTGTTTTCCTGACATTAGATGCTGGGCCAATCGGTCTAGCATTTCCCAGTATTGCCTTCTTTCATTTTTTTTTCCAACAGGATTGTCACTTTGGGCAGCATTCCAGTCATGAATTACTTCTCTGGTATCTAGTAATTTGTTGGAATGTTACAATCAACGCATCTGACTTTTGTCAGGGATCAAAATAACAGGTCATCAGGGCCTAGGGATGTATCTGACTTTAGGGCCATCCCAGTATCTAATATTTCTTCTTTAGGAATGATGATGTTACTTAATTCCTTTCCCATATTCTTTTGACACAATGGGAGATATAAAGTTTCTTCCACTGTTATGACAAGTCATGCAAAATACCTGTCTTACTCTTCTGCCATTTCGTTCTTGCCCTTAACTGTTTCCCCAGATTCAGTTTCCTCAGTTCACTTTGACCTTTTTCTTCCCTTTTCTATGTTTAAAAAAGGTGTTTTCATTGTCTGTTTTTATATAGCTCACTAGTTTGCACTCTGAGTTTATGTTCTCTTTCTTTGTTAACATTTTTGGTCCTCCGTTGTTGTCATATGAATTTATCCAGTCTGCGGGGCTCTCACGACATTTGTGTCCTCCTTATCGAGTATTTTCTTTCAACTTTATCCTCGCCTTAACTTGTCTTGTTAGCCATGATTGGTTTGTCCTCCTCTTAGAATCTTCCTTCCTTCTGGGATATATTACAGCAATATTACACCGCTGCTATCCCTATAGTGCATTTACCTGCTCATATTTATTGTAATCGTCAACATTCCTGGTCATAGCGTAGTCAGACAATGTAGAGATATGGTCGAAAGATGAAGGTGGTGATCCCAACATTAATCAATTAATCTGGTGCAGAGGAATGTGATCTTGAAGAATCATCAACTGAGACCATGAAGGTAAAATTCAAATCACAAGAAGGGCAAACACACTATTGTTTTGGACTATATGTCCCAAAACAGTCAAAGAGAGATAGAGAATTGAATTCGTCAACAATTTCAGAATAGTGCAGGAACAATAGAGCAGTAATGGCCAGATTTGAACGACGCAAATTTTAACAAGCTCAGCTTTAAAGTGCAATGCAGAGAGGTATCAAAACTCTGAAAATGCAACCAAGCGACAGTTTTTTTTTTTTTTTATCAGCCTGTCCGTGGGAAGCCCAACAATACAGAAGTCACTTCTGTCCCAAATATTTGGAGCCTGTTCTGGTGAAATCAGTCATTGTGCATTTTGAAATTAGTGATGATATGTAAGAATAGGATAGGAATAAAAGTTCTAAACTAGGGGAAGGTTATTTATTTTCAAAAATCACACACAGGATGTGGACGCCTTTGTTTGGGCAAGTAGTTATTGTCTGTTCCTTGTTAAAATGTAAAAGGCCATGCGATTCAGGGCAATGTTTCAACGTGGACGCAAAGTTAACTTAAGGGCAAGAAACAAAGTATAATGTTCAATGGCTGCACTTACGAATGGAAAGCTGTTTCAAATGGTGTTTCGCAGGTCTCAATGTTGGGACCACTGAAGTTTGTTTTACACATTAACGACTTGAACGTGAACGTGGACAAACAATTGGAAAATTTTCAGTGAACACAAAAATTAGCCATGTATTGGATAGTACAGAGAATAGGTGTGTGCCCAAAATGACGTAGATCGGTTTGTGGAGAGTGCAAGAAAGTGTCATATATGAAGTTTAACTCTGATAAGTGAGAGGAAATGCATTTGTGGAAGTCAAACAACAAAAGGCAATAAACAATAAATGGGAATATACTGAGAGAGGAAGATGAAATGAGATAGTTTGGTTTGTAAGTGCATGTGTCCTGTAAGGTGGCTTTATGGATAGGTGAGGTGATGAAGAAGGCACATGAAATGTCCTCCTTCCATCGGCAGAAGTATAGAATAAAAATTAGGGCTAAAAGGCTGAGGTATTGATGAGAGCTGTAGTGGGGTCAGAGTCCTTGTGAGTAATTAAGTGCAATATAGATAAATTCTTGATCAGTTAGTAAATCACGGGGAAAAGGAAAGAAAACGTTTTTGAGAAGTTTCGGCTCAGCCATGATCCTATCGAATGGCAAAGTATGTTCGAGTGGCCAAATAGCGTACTAGTGCTTCTATTCCTCATGGTCCTATTGTTGAGCCAGGGGAGATGGGTCATCTGTTGTTATGGGCCAGACCAGACCCCGCCAAGGTACATTATTGAGATAACATGGATCTTAATTTTTACATTTTATTTGAAAAGGCTAGTGTAAGGCACAGTGTTCCAGATGCATTCGATTAATTCGTCACAAAGCTTTCATCAAAATGCAATTCATTCTTGCACTGCAGTTAGTTACAACAAAACTAAGAATTGTTGTCACTTTAGTCTATTGAAAAACTGAACAGGATAATGTATTATGTAACCATCAATTATCAATTGTTTCACTTTAGGCAGAGTCCCATAAACATCCCCTTGGAACAGGACATTTAGCAACGTAGTTATCATTATCACGTGTTGTTACTCTCCAGTCTAACAGAAAGACTCATCATCAGAAGCAATCTGTCACATTTGATTTTTAAGATGAAACTCCTCTCTCTGGGATTGCACTCCAGCAGCCAAGAGCGAAAACCTTTTGCTCCACAAGCCAGCAACAACCACCAAATAACTGAGGCCAGAACGAAAATCCTCTGTCTGTGTGAGTCTGAGAATGACCACTCATCATTTTTTGGCCTTACTTTAAAAGAAGTAGAGAGAACCGAAAGCAGTTTACCAACTGCCTGACTGAACGAGACACTTCGGAAGCACTGCAACAATGCTCATCTGCAAGTGAATCAGCACAGAACACATCTTGTAAAGGCACAGTGCCATCACACGCTATGAATGATGGCAACTGGAAGAAATGCACTCAGAGCACCTGCATGAGTCTTTTTTTTCTGCCAGATTAACAGTTGTTCCTTATTAGAAGAATGCATTATTCCACAATTCATCAGGCAGTACAGATTTACCAATCTCTTCTTGCAGCCATTAGAGCGTCTGGTAGGCGATAAGAGTTACAATGCCTTGAGTAATATTTAAAGGTAATGTATGGGTGAATTCTCAGAGACTAAGGTCCCAAAGGCAGAATCTACGAAGTTATAACGGATACAACAGATAAGTACGTGGCTGGAAAATATAGTGTGTGGAGTAGCATTTCAGATTCGTGGAATATTGGGACCGATTCTTGGGGCTGTGGAACCAGAACAACCTGGAGTGATTACAACTGGGCAGGACTGGATTGATGTACTAGCGGGGAGCATTTTCGAGAGCAGTTTGGGTAGTTTTAAACTAAAGAGGCAAGGATATGGCAGTGGGAACCTATGCAAGAAGGTAGAAAACAGGGTGATCAGGGGCAAAACCAAAAGGCAGAAAGAAATGTCAGGAAGGTGTTGAGCAAATAATTGAAGCCACAGTGGCAAATGATGTGAACAGGACTAAAATATTAAGAAGATGCAAGGCCATGTGTCTTAATGCACAGAATATTCGCAATAAACCAGATTAATTAGATATGCAAACAGATATGCAATAGAATGTAGCTGGGATTACGGATTCTTGGCTGCAGAGTGACCAGGGATGAGAACCAAATATCCAGGGATATTTAGTCATGTATTGGATAGTACAGAGAATAGGAAAATGAAGCAAGCAACAACAATACATCTGCAATTATGCAAGACTTCAATCAGCATTTCGATTGGGTAAATCAAATCAGTAACAATTACATCGAGAACGGGTTCCTGGAATGAGTACTGAATGGTTTTTTTGCATCAGTACATTGAGGAACTAATGTGAGCTGGCCATCCTAGACTTAGTATTGTTTGATGGCAGGAATAAATTGCATTATACCTGTGCAAGGTCCCTCGGGAAGAGACACCATAATTTGGAGAAGGTTAACTCAGAGTACAATTGCACCCTAATCACCGTGCAAATGGACAAAGGAGCAGTAAATAGAGTTTAATTTAGATAAATGTCCCTGGCTACATTTTGCCAGTGCAAATCAGGGCACGATTTAGACACCTAATAATAAGTCCTGGAGAGGTGCATGTAGATAGGGTAGCGAAGAAGGTGTTTATTATGCTTTCCTTTATTGGTCACTGCATTGAGCACAGAAGATGGGTTAGGCCAGTTTTCGATGACTGCATTCTGTTCGGCTCTTCCTGCTGTAGGAAAGGTTTTGCGAAACTTGAAATCGTACAGAGGTGATTTACAAGGATATTGTCAGCGTTGGAGGCTTGAGATACCGGAAGAGGCTGAATAGGCTGGCGCTACTTTCCCTGGATCCTCGGAGGACTGGGGGTGAACTTACAGAAGTTTATAAATTCATGTGGGGCGTGGAATGGATAAATAGTAATGGTCTTTTCCCCAGTGGAGGAGAGATCAAAACCAGAGGGTATAGGTTTAGGCGTGAGGGGAACGATGTCAGAGGGCCATGAAGGGCATCGTTTTCATGCAGAATGTGGTGTGTGTACGGATTGAGCTGTCAGAGGAAGTGGTCAGGGCTGCTTAAGTTACAACATTTAAAAGGCATTTGGATCAATATATGAATTGGAAAGGTTGAAAGAGATATGGGCCAAATGCTGGTAAATAGGACTAGATTAATGTAGAATACCTGGTTGGCATGGACGAGTTGGATCGAAGGATCTGTTGCCACGGGGTACACATCTATGAATCTATGACGTTATTATAGAATTCCTCATCAAGGTGGAGAATGGCATAGTGGGTTCTGAGACCAGGATCCTGAAGATAAATGAAGGAATATGATGGCGTGAGGTACGAACTTCCTATGATGAATTGAGGAATTTTTCTCAAAAGAAGACAGTGGATAGGCAATGGAACCCATCTAAAGATTGTATGGAGGAACTGCAAGAAATGTTCATTCTTGTCTGGCAAAAAAGAAATTAGGAATGGTGGCTTGACCATAGCTAAGAAGCGAAATGGGTGTTTTAGATCCAAGGAAGGTACATGTTCTTTGTCCAAAAAGGAGCAGACCTGATGGCTGGCAGCAACTCAGCTTTTAGCAAAGGAGGACCAGGAAATTGATTAAGTTGGGAACAACAGAGAAGAAGCATAGGTGCTGGAACATACAAACTGATTTTCAAATTTTCTCCACACATATAAACGGTAAAAGAATTGTGAACACTGACGTTTGTCGATTATTTTTACAAACAGGGAATTATATTGGGAACAAAGAGATGACAGAGTAATCAAATACACAGTTTAGTACTCTCTTCATAAAAGGGGTTTCAAATAATGTTGGGAAACATAGGACTAGTGGAAGGACCTGCAGGAGATCAATAGTCGTGCGGAAATGCTGATGGGGAAATTAAAAGCATTAAAGGCCAATAAATCACTCGGGCCCAATAATCTACAACCCCTTAAAGTAATTACGGCCTAAAAATTCTAGATGCATTGATGGTCATATTTGAATAGTAGACTCGGGAAAGTTAACCATAGAATGGTGGTTGGCTCATGTAACTGTCTTTTTTTAAGAAAAAGAGGTCGGGAGAAAACAGATAATTATAGACATGATAGCCTGACATGTACCGTCAGAGAAAAGGCTAGTGCTTTAAGTTTTAAGAGCAGAACACTAAGGAAAATGTGAAGAATCGGAAAGAGCCAGCATGCATTTACAAAAGGGAAATCGTACTTGACAAAGACACTGGATTTTTCATTTGGAGAATGGAACCACTAGATTTGATAACGAAAAGCCATTCCTGGCTTTGGACTTTCAGAAGGCTTTCGATAAGGACCCAGTGTGGTGTATAGGAAAAAC